ACCCGACCGTTTCCTAAACCCAGTACACCATCCGTACGCTTACATACCCTTTGGTGGCGGACCCAGACTTTGTATTGGCCAGAGGTTTGCCCAGCAAGAGATGCGAATGTGTTTGGCCAAACTCATACACAAGTTTGAATTCACCCTGGCACAGCCACCAAAAATTAATTATTTCAAAGGATCAATACTTATGTCGCCCAAAGATCTGCTCGTAAACCTTACAGCTAGAAATTAATATAATAATCATTATGTTTTCTCTCAATATTAATTCTCTATTAATCTAAATATAAAGAAATCATTATTTGATATCATTCATTATTTTTATTATTGTAGCAATAAGTTATTAAAGAGTAAATATTTTTAAATATACTCTTGTTAATAAATAAAATCTATTGACTATTGACAATAGTACATAATACAATTTTTAATAATCTTATTAAATATTGATTTTTTAAATTAAAATTAAGTTTTTATTAATGTTAATTTACACGCTACATTAATCGTATAACATTTAATTATAACCCATATATGAAAATAAATATTATATTTTTAACATATAAAGTTGATAATTTAATTAACCATTTAAATATCATTGACATGTCAAATAATTAAAACTAATTGATGATTATTCAGACGTAAATTATTCAATATAATTCAATATAACAATACAAATATATTAAATTACACTAAAGAATTAAACTTAATATTTTTAAGTTGAATTTATAAAAACTTTTGTATTTAGACAATATAATTATTTTTGTCATTTAAACATCACAATTTCTATTGTGTTAATTTATAATTAAATCATCAATATACAATAAAATCTTACGCAATCATTGCACAGCATTTCACAAATAGTAAAACAACTCAACAAACACTTCAATTATTAAAACCTGAATATTCTGTTGTCTGCTGTATTGAAAACCACTATAATTACATAGAATTGCACACATATTGCCTAATAAGTTGACAATACAAACTGGTTCTACAAGTTTCACACGGTATAAAAATACCCTAAAATTATACTTCCAGGGAAAATGGCACATGTTGTATAAAAGTTTAAATAGTGTAGATGTATTGAAGAATGTAGTACCTGGTGGAGCGACCATAAGTTATATTTATTTACACTAGTAATCTAAATAAATGCATAAAAAATAAGATTATATTTCTAATTTAGATTAGTGTAAACACTAGTCACGCTAATATATTAGGAGATTATGCAGCTAAAATTAGCAAAAATAAATCCCCAAATAAATAACCTTCCAGTATTATCCCCAAATTAAACTTTTTGCACTACCTATTGCACTAACATTTGTACTAATATAGTTAAAACTAATAGGATTTAAGTGCATCTGGAACAACAACAATAAAAAAAAGTATATAAAAACTTAACGCATAAATTGATGAACTTTTATTTCCAATTGCACTATTAGCACAAAGTGGCAAAACTTTTTATGCAGTTATATTTAGTTAAATATATTAAATTATGAGTCTGAGCACGTATTTAGCGGCATTTGTCGTGGTAATTACTGGGGTTATAATGTAAGTAAAACTTTATCAATTTAAATTATTATTGATGAATTTACTAAAATCATCAAGGCTATTAAAAAACAAATACAATTTAATACAATAATATTTTACATAGATATCTGAGACGTCGATTTACCTACTGGACACGGAATGGTGTACCAGGGGCAAACTATCCGGAATACGAAGCATTTATTGGCGTTCACCATGAATGTACGGTGGAGTCGATCAAAAAATACGGTCGAGTGTACGGCACATACACGGGCTTTAGGCGCAGTATAGTCATCAATGAGCCCGATCTGCTCCGGGACATTATGGTGAAAGACTTTAACGTGTTTCCCGACCACAAGCATTTCCACATGGGCAGTTCAAAGCTCGACAAAAGCTTATTTTTTATGCCCGGCGACGATGATTGGAAACGTGTGCGCTCTATACTGTCCCCAGTGTTTACATCGGGTAAACTGCGGGCAATGATGGCACACATCGGCGGCATTTCCGATGGATTGGTTCACAGTTTGAGTGAATTTGAGAAAAATGGTAAATATTTTTTTATTTTTGTTATGAAATTTATTTCCTAGTTATTTATTCATTTATAATTTCCTGATTTAAAACAATTGATTAGTTTTAATTTTAAAACGTTAAATGTAAAGAACGGTATATCTTTTTATAATTGTATTTATAACAAATAGACTACAATATTAATGTAACATTATTAAATATTTGAAATAATAGATATTAATATATTTTTATTTATATTATTTTTATTTGCTAACCTCTAAATATACTTACAAAATAATTAGAACAGTTCAATAACATGTTTTTATATTTCATTGAAAAATCAAAAACAAATTAACACTAATAATTAGTGTATACAATCTATGTGAAAATTAGTTGCACAACTAATATAAATGAATTTTTATTATAGGGAAACCGGTTGATATGCGCAAATATATTGGCGCGTTTGCGATGGATGTGATCAGTGCCTGCGCTTACGGCATAAACCCCCAGTCCATCAGTAATCCGGATCATCCCATCGTAACCAACGCTAAGAGTATACTAGGATTAGACGCCGGAGTGAATCAAATATTTTCTGTTTTGACGCCCGCTTTGGCCCGATTCCTAAACCTCGAGCCCTTTCCGGTCAAAGCTGTCGACTATTTCGATGATTTGACAAATCAAATACTGAAAGAAAGAAAAGTGAACAACAAATACATTATAGTTAATAATAATAAACGTAAGTAATCATGTTTATTGCAATTTACTATGTACTGTATTCTGTATATCAATATAACTAACTTTATTTATATTGTATATGTATAGACAAAAAGCGCACAGATTTCATTCAATTAATGATAGACTCAGAAAAGTCAGACAAAGAGTCGGGTTATTATTCCGGTAGTGAACCGGAAGTGGACGACGAGCCCAGCGGTGGACAGTTGCCGAAGAAAGTTGTGGGAACCCTAACACCGGATGAGTTGACGGCTCAGGGAATACTGTTTTTTATTGCGGGTTATGACACTACCAGCGCTGCCCTAACCCACGCAATACACTACTTGTCTAAACACCCGGACTGTCAGCAAATACTATACGAAGAGTTGCGAAGTTGTGATGAGTTTACGTACGAAAAGTTATCGCAATTGAAATACTTGAACGCAGTTATCAATGAAACACTACGTCTCGCGCCTTCGCTAACACGTATACAACGGGAATGCATTCAGGATTACAAACTCGGGAATACCGGTATTTTCAATATTTTATTTTAAATGACATTTCTATACTAATTATTTAATATTTATAACAGGCATTACAGTACCCGCGGGCACATCGGTCGAGATCTATCCATACGCTATACAAAGGGACCCAGACTTTTGGCCCAACCCTAACGACTTCATACCCGACCGGTTCCTAAACCCAGTACACCATCCCTACGCTTATTTGCCGTTTGGTGGCGGACCCAGAATTTGTATTGGCCAAAGATTTGCTCTCCAGGAGATGAGAATGTGCCTGGCTAAATTAGTTAACCAATTTGAATTTATCGCCTACAATAAGACTAAAATTGAATATTTTACTGGAAATATTTTAATGTCCCCGAAAGAGCTCTTGGTTAATATTAAATCTAGAATTTAGTATACCTTATTTGACATTTCAGATTACTTTTATTTTGAAAGTTTTACTGTATTATATATTTTAAATAATATTTTTTATTAATTATTAATGTGTTCCCAACGTTTCTCAGAGTGGGTAAAATTGGGTAAATCTAATACTTTATAATCAATTTATTATCATTTTTGATTCAAATATAATGTAAATATATAATGAATGTGGTAGATTGTTTTTATTTAATGAATTTACTCATTTAAATTCCAATTTTGTGTAAAATGCTGTTAAATTATTTTTTCAAGTTCTCAATCCTTCTCTCAATGACACTCTGACTGTCATTCAACTAATTTTCTTGCATTTTGAAAACTTTTTAATAATATTTTTAAATAAATTGTAATTGCATTTGTGATTTATGTTTGTATATTAATTATACAATGCAACAAAAATAAATGCCTAGATTAAAATTATTTTATTTAAATCGCTACTTCGTAAATAATTGTAATTTATTTATTAATATTGATTTTTATATATTTTAAAAAGCATACATTTTATCAGCTTAATACTATTTTTAAAATATCTGATTGGCAATCAGTGATTGCGTTTATCAGTTTATTTATTGAGTATATTTTAAATACAAAAATTTATTAATTTACACCAAATTATTAAATTGCAGCTTTTTAAGTTACTTTTATAAATACTTTTATGTTTATTCATTATACTTATATTGTCGTTAAAACATCTTAATTATGATTACTTTAAATACATAAAATACATTTCAAATACATTATTTTAAACCATTAGTATAAAACAATTTATACGGTAGTATTGCACAACACTTCATAAATATTAAAACAATTCAACAAACACTACATATATTAAATCCTGAATATTCTGTTATCTGTTGTATTGAAAACAACTACATTTACATAGCATTACATACATTGCCTAATAAATAGAAAATATTTACAATAGAAAATGATAAAATAAGTTTTACACGATATGAAAATACCCTGAAAATCTAGATTGAGAATAAAGTATATATTCTATGGAGTTTAGTATGTTATATGTGCAAATACAATATAGCACATAATGAATCTATTATAAATTAGATGCATGTACACTATTTAATCTAAATAAATGCCCAAACATTAAGATTATATTCGTATTGTAAATTAGTATGCTACTTGTGTAGCAACAAACATGTGATATTAGTAAATTAAATTGTTAAATCTAAATTATATTGCTAGAATTAATAAAAATAAATTCCAAAATGAATGCTATTTAATATAATAAAACGCATTATTAATATTTAATAATAAACTGATAAAAAAGAAAACAATCCTGATATTTCCCTAATGTAAACTTTTGTACAATAGTAATAGTAATTGTATGCAATAATTATTATTGTATGTTTGGGTGTATTTGTCATAGATACAAACAAGATGCACACGCAATGCTATAACTTAACCACTATTTTATTTAGGCGATGCTAAAAATTACATAAGCTCAACACGAGCACTCGGGAATATTATTATTGAATACACATAGACTTAACATTATCCATAGATTTAATATTAAACCCTTATTTAAGTACAGCCATTTACATAAGTTTAATCCCATAGAGCGGGAAGGGGGGCCAAACGGAGGGGTAGCCGTACTATTGTATAATCCTATTTATTCTATATAGAATTGTGATTAAAAGTATATAAATGTCAGCGCATAAATTTATGTATTTTAATAATCAAATACAATTCAAGGTTGAAAACAATTTACATATTACTTTATAATATAAAGTTTATATTGTTGAATTGATAAAATTATGAGTTTCACTACATATTTGGCTGTATTTGTGGTGTTAATTACCGCAGGTTTAATGTGAGTAGAAGTATTATAATTAAATAATCCGACAAAATGTTCAAGGCTATATAATTTAATATAACATTAAATTATTATCTAGATATTTACGACGCAAATTCACCTACTGGACCCGGAATGGTGTGCCAGGGTCAAACTACCCGGAATACGAAGCTTACATTGGCGTTCACCATGACTGGACGGTGGAGTTGGTCAAAAAGTGGGGCCGAGTGTACGGCACATACACAGGCTTTAGGCGCAGTATAGTCATCAATGAACCTGATCTGCTCCGGGACATTATGGTGAAAGACTTCAATGTGTTTCCCAACCACAAGCATTTCCACATGGGCAGTTCAAAACTTAGCCAGAGCCTATTTTTTATGCCCGGCGACGACGACTGGAAACGCGTGCGCTCTATACTGTCGCCGGTGTTTACATCGGGTAAACTCCGGGCAATGTTGAGCCATATCGGCGGCATTTCTGATGGTTTGGTCGAGAATTTGTCACAATTTGAGAGTGGTAAATATTTTAAAAACTTTTTGTTATTTATATAATATTTCCTGGTTGATATTTATATCTATTTTTTTAATATATAATATATTTTATTATTAAAATTTTTAAATATAATTAATTAACTATAATTAACTTATACTTTAAATATAATTTCTTAATGTTACAGTACTACTCACGAACTGTAATATTGTAATAATTAATTTATAAGCTTATAATCTAAGGCTATAATAATTACCCAATGGAGTAATCAAAAAGCTTAAAAACTAAAACTTTTTAGTTTAATTAATTTAATTTAATTTTTAATGTAAAGTTATGTGATTCCTATGACTTTTTAATTATGTAGATTAAAATTCACAATTTATTTATTATCAAATAAATGCTCATGGATAACTCATTAATTTTAATCATCATCACAGGAAAGCCAGTAGATATGCGCAAATATATCGGTGCGTTTGCAATGGATGTGATCAGTGCCTGCGCTTATGGCATAAACCCCCAGTCCATCAGTAATCCGGATCATCCCATCGTAACCAACGCTAAGAGTATACTAGGAGTGGACGCCGGAGTGAGTGTCATATTATCAGTAATGACCCCTCGTTTGGGCCGATTCCTAAACCTCGAGCCCTTTCCGGTCAATGCTGTCGACTATTTTGATAGTTTGACAAAACAAATACTCAGCGAACGGAAAGTGAACAACAAATACATGACAATCAATAATAATAAGTGTAAGTAATTATTTAGCATGTTAAACTTACGTAATATGCAATTATCGTAGATATACATTATGTACTTATATTAATAAAACAATATTTTTGTTGCATATGTTTAGCCAAAAAACGCACAGATTTTATACAACTAATGATAAACTCAGAAAAGTCTGACAAAGAGTCGGGTTATTATTCCGGTAGCGAACCGGAAGTGGACGATGAGCCCAGCGGTGGACAGTTGTCTAAAAAAGCTTTGGGAACCCTAACACCGGATCAGATGGTAGCTCAGGGTTTGCTGTTTTTCATAGCCGGTTATGACACCACCAGCGCTGCCCTAACCCACGCAATACACTACTTGTCTAAACACCCGGACTGTCAGCAAATACTATACGAAGAGTTGCGAAGTTGTGATGAGTTTACGTACGAAAAGTTATCGCAATTGAAATACTTNTATACGAAGAGTTGAGAAGTTGTGATGAGTTTACGTACGAAAAGTTATCGCAATTGAAATACTTGAACGCAGTTATCAATGAAACACTACGTCTCGCGCCTTCACTAACACGTATACAACGGGAATGCGTTCAGGACTACAAACTCGGGAATACCGGTATTTTATAATATTATATTTTAACTTTAATGACATTTCATACTAATAATTCATATTTACAAAAGGCTATACAATACCCGCGGGCGCATCGGTCGAAATCTTTCCGTACGCTATACACCGGGATTCAGACTTTTGGCCCAACCCTAACGATTTCATACCCGACCGTTTCCTGGAGCCCACACACCATCCCTGCGCTTACATACCATTTGGTGGCGGACCCCGAGTGTGCATTGGACAGAGGTTTGCCCTCCAGGAGATGAGAATGTGCCTGGCTAAATTAGTGCATCACTTTGAATTTATTGCCTCCAATAAGGCTAAAATTGAATATTTTACAGGAAATATTTTAATGTCACCAAAAGAGTTCTTGGTTGATATTAAATTTAGAATATAATAAAAATAAATCTATATTTTCGATTACCTTCAAAGAGTTTATAATAGCCTTTATTAATAAATATAATTTTTTGAATGTATTTCTATTTTATTATATGGTATATGGTGATTTTTATAATTTTTATATAATATTAATGTCATTATGTTTTTAAATGAATGAATGAATTATTTGAATAGATTAATAAACTAATTATGTTTAAATTTTTATTGTAAACATTCTTGTATATGCTGTACAAAATTAATTTTATCTAAAGTTTATTTAGTATTTTAAACTTTGAAAACAAAATAAAAATGAAACTTTCATTATTTAATATGCCAAGTATCATCAAAAAATTTGTATTCATAGTTAACCATGGAGGTTTGACAAAAGAGGACACTCCGTTGTTAGTATTTTATTTTATTTTACATTATTAAAAATAAAAATTAACAAAGACTATGCTACTGACAAACTGTAATATTGTAATAATCAATTTCTAAGTGTATAATCCTAAGCTATAATAATTACCTATGGGCAGATCCAGAGATACGACCTATAATTTTATTTAATTTTTAATGTAAAATTATGTAATTTATTTGACGTGTATGTGTCACATTTTGTTCATCGCAGGGTATATTATTATTAAACCATTAAATAATTGTAATAATTATAACAACAATACCAATTTCTAATTTTAAAAACAAATAAGTTTAAACAATTTGAATTTAGCAAGCTAAACTCGAATACCTTACCTGTACCATTTTGATATTACCCAAAATTTATTTTTGATATTAAAACAAGATCATAATTATTTCAGTTTTATCCATGCTTTCCAAAATATATTTAAAGTTATTCATGATCAATCAATTTTCTGATAACTTGATACAATTACAGTCTATAAATATGTTTAGCAAATTATTTAGCGTCAATTATATTTAGGATAATCTATATGAATAGTTTCAATTATATCTATTAGATTTAATAAATTATCATTTTGTAACTATTTTATAATTTTATTAAAAATGTATTTTTAATAATACATAAGAAAAATGCCCTAACAATCTATAAAGATAAAAATAGTCAGAAAAGTTTATCACAACCTGGATGTATTTAGTACAAAAAGTTAGTTTTGGGGATAAAAAGAGAACATTTATCAGTGTATTTTTTGTATATACAATACTTAAATTGTATTTCATTATCTTAATGCGCGAGTATTACGATTTATCCCCAGATGCATTTATATTGATATCATGAAATACCCTGTTTGTATTGCATAATACAATCGTTATCATGCATTTTACCCCAAAGCAAACTTTTTGTACCAAATGTTTAAGCTATTTATAAACAGGTTTGGGTGCATCTGGCGCTGCGAACTGCATATAAATAGACAGCGTATTAACAGTATTGTGTTTGTAACTTAAAGTTAGTTAAATTGAGATCAATTATGACAATATTTTTCATATAATAATAATGTATCACTATATAAGACAATTAATGTAATTCGATACTCAAACTGGTGCATAAATCGGTATAAAGGCGTGTCAATTATCACGTTAATAATGTAAGTAAAACCAATTGCTATTTAATAATCAATAAACATCAGTGTAAATGATGAATGTTAAATAAAAATTTTTAGCATTAAAATTATTGTACATAACTAAATATGAACGTTTTTACATAGATACCTGAGACGTCGGTTCACCTACTGGTCGCGGAAAGGTGTACCAGGGCCAAATTTCATCGAGTACGAAGCATTCACCGGTGTTCACCACGAGTATACCCTGAAAGCGGTCAAAAAGTGGGGCCGAGTGTACGGCACGTGCACCGGCTTTCAGCGTAGTATAGCGATCAACGAGCCCGACCTGCTCCGGGACATCATGGTTAAAGATTTTAATATTATGCCCGACCACAAGCACTTTCATGTGGGCAGCTCTAAGATAGGCCAGAGCCTATTTTTTATGCCCGGCGACGATGACTGGAAACGTGTGCGCTCTATACTGACCCCCGTGTTTACGTCGGGCAAACTCCGGGCAATGTTGGGCCATATCGGCGGCATTGCCGACAAATTTGTTGATAGTTTGACTGATTTATCAAAAAAGGGTAACTTTAATCATTACATTTATAATTTAATAATTTCTATTTGTATAGCTATTCAATTTATACATTGAACATTATTTATTATTTTATTGTATTTACAAACTTATTATATTAATGCTTATGAAATGCATGAATATATTACTTAAATAGGGCTAAACAAATTATAGCAAAACATTTGTGCTATTTTTAATCATATTATATTTTGCTTATTAACCATAATCATAGGAAAACCAGTAGATATGCGCAATTACGTGGGCGCGTTTACCATGGATGTGATCTGTGCCTGTGGTTATGGCATACAAGCGGACACTATTAACAATCCGGATCATCCTATCGTAACCAATGCTAAGCGTGTGCTGGGATTTAACGGCGGATTGTCAATAGTGTTGTCGGCGCTGACACCCGGGTTGGCCCGACTGTTACGGCTCGAGCCGTTTGACATAAAAGCGGTCGAATATTTCGATGGACTCACAAAACAAATACTTAATGAACGCAAAGTTAACAACAAATCCACGACAAACGATAAATGTAATTACATCTCATTATTATTTATTTATACATTAATTATATATTTAATAATTGTTTTAATTTTGTTTTGTATTTATAGCCAAACGGCGCACAGATTTCATACAATTAATACTAGATTCGGAAAAGTCGGACAAAGAGTTGGGCTATCATTCCGGTAGTGAAGGGGAAGCGGATAACGAGTTGACTACTGGTGGACAACAGTTGGCTAAAAAATCTGTGGGAACCCTAACACAGGACGAGACCATAGCACAGGGTTTAATATTTTTTCTCGCCGGCTATGACACTACCAGTGCCTCCATAACAAACGCCCTGCACTTCCTGTCTAAACACCCGGACTGTCAGCAAAGACTATACGAAGAGTTGCGAAGTTGTGATGAGTTTACGTACGAAAAGTTATCGCAATTGAAATACTTGAACGCAGTTATCAATGAAACACTACGTCTCGCGCCTTCACTAACACGTATACAACGGGAATGTCTATCGGATTATAAACTCGGAAATACCGGTATTTATATATAATTTTATTTTATTTAACTTATTCAGTATTTAATAATAATTATGTAATATTTATAACAGGCATTACAATACCCGCGGGAACATCGGTCGAGATCTATCCATACGCTATACACCGGGACCCAGACTTGTGGCCCAACCCTAACGACTTCATACCCGACCGTTTCCTGGAGCCCACACACCATCCCTACGCTTACATACCCTTTGGTGGCGGACCCCGAGTATGCATTGGACAGAGATTTGTATTACAGGAGATGAGAATGTGCCTGGCTAAATTGATATCTAAATTAGAATTCAACATGTGCGATGAGACAAAAATAGAATACTTTACTTCCAACATTTTAATTTCACCTAAAGAACTGATGCTTGATATTAAAACTAGATCGTAAACAAATATTATTAGATAACATGTTATACTTCATTTAATCCTTTTAATTAATATTATATTAAGTCACATTTTGTAAAAATAATTTTAGTTTAAATATTGCGGAAAAGTAAATTTTTAATTTGAAAAATATTGTTCATTTTTATAGCAATCTAAATGTAATTATTTGTGTATTATACATCTGAATTATTAGTAATTTTTCTCAATTAATTACATACAACTTATTAGCATCACTCGATATTTGTTTACTAATTTTTGTAAAAAATCTATTGACATTTTAATAAAGTTATGAAAGTTAGAACTCAAACTATTAATTATTTTATTTACAATTATATATGATAAAATAATACATTAAAATAAAGTCTACAGTTTTTCTGTCTACAGAAAACCCTTAACATTTTGATATACTGTAGATTATAAACAATCTTGATAACTTTAGACCGAACTGTTTGATTTTTAAAACAGTAATATAAAATATACCCTGATTAAATAAAAACTATCACAACATTTAATGTAACGAACCGAATTAATCAAAATGTATTTAAAACCTTCACCATATTTAAATCTATTTCATGTAATAAAACATCAATTTTATAAACAACAGATTTATAATAACTATTTATCACCAAAAAATATATAATTAATTAGAAGTGGTTTTTGAATCAGCAAGCTTATTAATAAGCTATTATTCATTATAAACGTTACAATAATTGCAGCCATCGAGTACCCTAATGCCCATGATAAATAATTATTTGTAAATATTTGCAAATAATTTTCATATAAAAGTTCATTAATATTTAGTAAATGTATAAAGTAATGTATAAACACCACTAATTATATTAGTATAGTTTATATCTGAATGTATTCTGGATATTGTATAAATTATATAATAACACACTGTTTACTGCTGTAAACACCCAAGTGAACGGTTTTGACTCTAATGATTATAAGTTATAACTTATAACTTTTTAAAAATTTGTTTTAAAAACACTTAATGAAAGAGTTAATAAAATATAAAATAAATATTGATTTATTAGTTATCAATGTTAGAACTTATCATTTGTCGAACTAATTTGTACTCAACAAACTACGAGTACATTATAAAAATGATCCCTGATTATCATGTTAATTAGTATTTTTGAGTACATAATACCAAAAACATGCCTAGTATATAAATGCGAATAACATACACGATGTCTATGATTAAAATAGTCAACATTGAGTTATTTGAATGTTTAGTATTTTAACAATTATTTAAAAAATATTAATTATTATTAACAGCTATGAATTTCCAAACATCAATCGCTGTATTGGCTGTAGTTATTGCTGTAATCGCACTGTAAGTAGCAAAATATTAATATAAACAATATTCACTATAATTACAATAATATTTACTTGGTCCAATACCTCCGCCGCTAAGTTGATAACCAGATCTGTCCCACACGGGCCTGGTTTCAAATAACTCATATTCCGAAAGTGTTTACAAGTGGTGCTCATGTGTGATTTAGTCCACTTTAAATACGGTAAAGTGTACGGATCATATTCGCTGACTGGCACCCGCATAAATGTCAGCGAGCCCGATCTGCTCCGGGACATTATGGTAAAAGACTTTCACGTATTTGCCTCACGTAAACATATGCACCTTGGTACATCCAAATTGGATATGAGTCTGTTTTTCATGCCCGGCGACGATGGCTGGAAACGACAACGATCTATACTATCGCCGGTGTTTACATCGGGTAAACTCCGGGCAATGATGGCACACATCGGCGGTATTTCCGACGGTTTAGTCAAGAATTTGTCACAGTTTGAGAAAAAGCCATAAATAAAATCTAAAAATATTATTGCATAAAATGTTATTACAGTTTGTTATAATTAAATATAATTAATTAAATCCACTTTGTCACCTATATGCGTTTATGCACCCGCGCAAACGTTACCTACAAATCAGTGCATGCGCTTATGGCATAGATGTCGAGTCCATTGATAACCCCAACCATCCGGTGGTCACAAACGCCGCAAAAATATTGAACGCCGACGCGGGTATTGGACTCGCAATGTCTATATTGGCGCCGAGTATTGCAAAATTATTCAAACTAGAACCATTTAACATTGGCGCTGCCCGTTATTTTGACCAATTAACTAAGCAGATATTAAGCGAGAGAAAAGTCAACAATAAATATGCCAACACTGATAAAAGTAAGTAATGTTTTAATAAAGTAAACATTTTATGGTTATTTAATTTTTGTTTATATCAATAGCCAAACGGCGCACAGATTTCATACAATTAATGATAGACTCAGAAAAGTCGGACAAAGAGTTGGGCTATCATTCCGGTAGTGAACCGGACGACGAGTCAACCGATGGACAGTTAAATAAAGTTGTGGGCACTCTATCACCGGACGAGATGGCAGGTCAGGGTATATTGTACGGTATTTATTTTAGATTTTTATAATAACGTATTTTACAATAATGTCAAACAATATTAATTTATATTAATTAATTTAGGTGAAACAGTGGATATACGCAAATACGTGGGCGCGTTTGCAATGGATGTGATCAGTGCCTGCGCTTATGGCATAGATGTCGAGTCCATTGATAACCCCAACCATCCGGTGGTCACAAACGCCGCAAAGATATTGAACGCCGACGCGGGTATTGGACTCGCAATGTCTATATTGGCGCCGAGTATTGCAAAATTATTCAAACTAGAACCGTTTAATATCGGGGCTGCCCGATATTTTGACCAATTAACCAAGCAGATACTAAACGAGAGAAAAGTCAACAATAAATATGCCAACACTGATAAAAGTAAGTAATGTTTTAATAAAGTAAACATTTTATGGTTATTTAATTTTTGTTTATATTAATAGCCAAACGGCGCACAGATTTCATACAATTAATGATAGACTCGCTTTTCAGCCTGTTTCTCAACCCGATAGTAAGGCCATCACTTGGCCTGCTGCTCAGTTGGCTACCTGTCAATTTATTTCAACACCCGTGAGATAGTGGCCTGCTCTACCGTCCAGTCCCATATAACATTTTTATCGCCGGTTACGACACAACCAGCGCCGCCATAACCCACGCCCTGTACTACTTGTCTAAACACCCGGACTGTCAGCAAATACTATACGAACACCGGACGAGATGGCAGGTCAGGGTATATTGTTTTTTATCGCCGGTTACGACACAACCAGCGCCGCCATAACCCACGCCCTGTACTACTTGTCTAAACACCCGGACTGTCAGCAAATACTATACGAAGAGTTGCGAACTTGCGATGAGTTTACGTACGAAAAGTTATCGCAATTGAAATACTTGAACGCAGTTATCAATGAAACACTACGTCTCGCGCCCTCTCTTACCCGCATTAATCGTGAGTGCCTTCAGGACTATAAACTCGGAAATACAGGTATTAATTAGTACATATAATATTAATTTTTTATTTTATTATCTAATTAAAACATTATTTATTTTTAATAAACTAGGCATAACAATACAAAAGGGAGTTGTGGTTGAAATAATACCATACGCTTTGCATAGACAGGCGGACCTGTGGCCCAACCCTAACGACTTCATACCCGACCGTTTCCTAAACCCCGTCCACCATCCGTACGCTTACATACCCTTTGGTGGCGGACCCCGACTTTGTATTGGCAAGAGGTTTGCCCAGCAAGAGATGCGAATGTGTTTGGCCAAGCTCATACATAAGTTTGAATTTACCCTGGCACAACCGCCAAAAATCAATTATTTCATTGGATCCATACTTATGTCACCCAAAGATCTGCTCGTTAAGCTTAAAGCTAGGGATTAGTTTAATAAATAACCACTTTCCTATTACCAGATGATATTATAATATAATTAGAACTATATCATTGAATTCACGTCAAACCAAACTAAACTTGATTATTTACCGAGTAGTTTTTAATATACAGTAGCTTAAACAGCTTAAAGTTATCTAATTAATAACAATAAAACTAGATGTTAAATATTGATATGATTTATATTCAAAATTATGCATAATTAATTAGTTTAAATGTTTTATTTTATTAGATTGAGAAATTTATGAATTATTTGCTGTATATTTTGAATCAAATTAAATAAAGAAAATTTTATTTTTGCGATATTATTAATTTTATTGTTATTCATTGTTTATTTTAAGTCCAAAATATTAAGTTTCTCTCTTTCTCTCTCTCTCTCTCTCAATCCGATTTGCAATGACTTTGAAAACTATGTAAATTATAAATACCTATCAATTTTATCAACAAAATTGAAACCTCTGCCCTTCACCTCAATTGCAAAATCACTTTCACTGTATTTATGTCTCAATGCATTCATAATACATGTCTTATAAGTATTTAATAATGTGTTTGAGGAAAACTAATTATTTAAATATTTAACTGATAAACAACCTAAGTAAATAGTTTTGCTGCCATCAGGGTATTTATTTATAGTTATTTTTATACACACTTCAGTAGTTTTAAAAGGTTTAATAAGCTGTTATTTATTTATTATTAGGTAAGAATTTATTAATTTTAAATAAATTATTATATTTGTAACTTTATAATTGCAAATACAAGTTTAATTTATATTTTTTGTTTATGCTAGTTTGTCAATTTGATGAGCTTGATGACCCTGTTTATATTTTCATCTATAAGTGGGAGGGATAAAAATATTAGACTTAAATAAGTTATAAATAAACCTCAAAGACAATGTTTTTGTATAAATATTTTTTGACACATGAATTTAGGTTATTATCAATACCGTATAGATTATAATACTAATTAAGCAACATGGTATATAAATAAATAACAGCAATATGTACAGGTATGGTACAGATAGATAATATACCAGTATAAATATTGCAAAACTTACCAGTTTGATTGTGTGCCACTAAACTCACTAGTTTATTTAAGTCAATGTTAAGTCTGCAACATAATTAATTATTATAAATTATTTACAAATATAAACATCATAAACATATTACAAGCATTTAATTTGTTTACAAATAAAGTGAAAGTTAAATATTATTTAAGAGAAACATTTCATAATATCAATCAGTTTTGTAAATATATTACAACTGAACATAAAGATGAAACAATTGTTAATAATATTGGCGTTTATTTTATTTTATTGCTTAACACAAGTGAATAGTCAACAAGAAGTGAGTGTAAAATGTAATAAAAACGGCGATAAAGAGATCGACACAATGTTGGCCCGGGTATTGACTTTTGGGGACTCGGGTCGGGAGTTTCCCGAATCGGCCGATGATGTGCCCGCCTTTTGTAAGTAAGTAATGTTTCAATAATATATTTTTATTAGGTTATTTATTTAGTCATGATGATTTATGAAATCTAAAACTAGCCAGATGGCAAGGTATTTAACTATTATTTTACTAATGTTATTATAGACCTAAAATGTTTATTATTAGAAATATAAATTCATATAAATATGGAATATTTGTAAAATCAACCTGTTTAAACAGTATTTAAAAATTTGCATTAAATAGTACATTATTTTATAATTTTAAAATATCCACATCATTTACATAAATAAATAGTGAAATAAATAAGATTTATCTGAATAATCTTATTATGGACATATTCCAGTACAAACTGTAAAAGTAAACTCATTTAATATATTGTATAATTGGCGTTAATGCACAGTTTAAAAGTTGGTTTCCGTACTCCTTTTCAATAAGGGTGTTATATTTAATTAATGTTCATTATCATTAAATTATTTTTTTTAATAAATCAGCGAGACAAAAGTTCTGGTAAAAACTGTGGACACATACGTAAAAAAGTGCACCAAAGGTCTGTCAAAGCAATTATTCTCGGTCTACGTATTCACCATTAAATCCCAATTAACACAACTCTGTAAACGGGATTCCCGTCGGCGAAGGGAAATGATGTCAGCGGCCAAATGTGTGAACGCAGCCAAACAGGTGTTCGCCAAATGCGTTGACCGCACTGTAGATCGGCTGCAAAGAATTCGACTGCTCGATGACGATAGCAAAAAAATACCACATCTGTGCTGGTAATTTCATTAACAATAGTTGCATTTAAACTTCCAGTTATATGAATAGTCAAATTGTTTGATTAAGCACTTTCATTTATTTAATTTATATTTACAGTCCCAAGTAAGACAATATGAAATTAAATAATTAAGTTATTTATAAACATATAGAATCTTTTAATATATGAACCTTATAATAAAAATGCAAAAATAGTAGGTTTATTAAAATTAAGTGACATTTTAATTAATAATTAAATTAATCACGAAGTTTTATTTTACTTTTTTAGTGAATACCACGCAAACAAACATTGCAACACTGATGGTGGTAAACACGTGTCGGGCTGTACTGACCGGGATCTGGACACTGTTGAGAAGTTGGCCGACACTGTGGCCGGAAATTCAATGAATTTGGTTTGCGGTGAATTCGCCGACACTTCAGACAAATGCCAATCATTGGATAAATTGCCCAAAAATGTTAAGAAACCCCAAAAATTCAAATCATTTTTCATACCCGCTATTGATATCATACGGAGTTTAAAAGCATAATTAAATAACGTTTGTAAATCTATTTGTATTATTATTCATCATCATATTTTATATTTTGGTTTAACATTGTAGAGTTCAACATTTACTATTTGATTAATTGCATTGATTTATTTGTTAAAAATTGTAATTATGTAAAATTATATTAAAAGTTGTTTGAAAATAAAATCAAAATTCAAGCATAAATAAATTCTTTATTTCACAAGTCCATTAAATGTATGATTTGGTCAAATAATTTCATTAAACTTACCATAATTTCTAATTATATACATAATCTATTATATAATAAGCCTCAAAGTTAAATAACTCAAATTTATAATTTACTTACGTATAAATCTACCTTCAAAATAATAATGTTAATTGTCTGTAATTAATATCATATAAAAAGTTTAAACCATTTACAAAAGAAGTTATACAACCATTTATAGTATTATATGGTAAACATAATCATATTAAATTTACCGTAATGTGTATATAACAGTCTGTATTCTTTAAAATAATAGAATCAGGCTAAATACTTGTTGTTAAATATAAGTTTAGAAAACTATATTTAGCAAGTTGAATTGAGTGACACGCTATAACAAAATAATCTATATAATGTACATTTCCCTATTACAAACTGTAACAGCAAAATCAATTTATTTTTGGCATTAAAGCCAAACATGCATGTTGTAAAATTGGGCTCTCAAAAACGAAGTATTACTTTATTAAAATCTCGACTAATAATAAGCAAATTAAAATTATTATAATATATTTTTTTATAAATCAGCGAGACAAAAATACTGGTAAAGTCGATGGAGACATACATTAAAAGTGCACCAAAAGTCTATCAAAGCAATTATTTTCGGTCTACGAATTCACCACTAAATCCCAATTAACACAACTCTGTAAACGGGATTCCCGTCGGCGGCGGGAAATGATGTCAGCGGCCAACTGTGTGAACGCAGCCAAACAGGTGTTTGCCAAATGCGTTGACCGCACTGTAGATCGGCTTCAAAGAAATCGAGTACTCGATGACGATAGCAAAAAAATACCGCACCTCTGCTAGCATTTCACGTAATAGCCTAGTTATATTACCAAGCAAGTTTATTAATTAAGCACTTTCATTAATTTAATTTATATTTACAGTTTAAATTAATACAATATTGTAATTATGTAAAATTATATTTAAAGTTTTAAAAATATTAATAAAAATTCAAATGCCTGATTAATGTCCATTTAATGTCTGAATTGCTAACGTAATCTTATTAAACTTATCATAATTATTAATTAACAGGCTATATTGTCACACAATATAAATTATTTTGCATATCCGAAATGAATATCATACAGAGTTTGAAAGTGTAATGTAAATATTGTTGTTTTTCAAGCATGATCTATTTTATCGTTAAATAATTTAAATTTACAAATTAATTACGTATATATATATACAAAATTGTCCATTTCCTGGATAATCTAGGACGTTCCTGGACGTCTGGGAACGCGTAGGATCGGTGAGAATCAAGGGACACACCCAAAAAAATGTGAATTCACAAAAATGGGACAAATACTCAACTCACATACTATTAACCCAATCCTGAAAGGTTCAGTGGTTAGATCATAATTGTTTACAACATTTACCGCTATAATTACCAAATCAATGACCGGCACCACGATTTAGTAATAGATAAATAAGGAATTAGAGATATATTTATTAATACTAGGGCACAACATTGATTATAATCGTGCTTGCAACTAGCTAGGTAATAAATTATTACTGGGTTAGACTGAGCAATAGTAAGATACCATATGATATGTATGTCTCAGGGCAGCTCCAAGGCAATTTTATTGCTATGTAATTTATACTCTATGCATGATTTACTCATATATAGTGTAATACTCATATAAAGAGTGGGGGTTTAAATTAAAACATTTATACTCATAATATTAAAACAGGGCACTCGATGACTATAATAAGTGTAACGGTAATAGTAAATAATGTGTTATAATAAATAATATAAAATACAAAAATACATTATTGTCTATGAGGGTCACAAAAAATAGGGAGCAGTACGGAGAGCGATATAAATGATTATGGATAATTATGTTTGTGAACAATACACTGTTTGTAGTTTGTGAGCAAAATCATATCAATAGTCAATGTTAATGCTATTCATTTATTAGTAGTGAATGGTATTAAAAATGAATTTGACGAGAGAGAGAGAGAGAGAGAGAGAGAGAGACTGAAACCTACTAATTTTATGTAAAATGTATTTTCTAGAAAATAGTGTAAAGGGCGTAATTTTGTGAAATTGTTTGCTTATAATAAGCCTCTCTATCGAGCTATTAATGTCCTCGTATGGTATAAAAGAGGTAATAATAATAATAATGTGTTTAAAATGTATCGACATTTAAAGATATTTACAACAAATTTATAGATACTGTCAAATTTCCTGTTTGAAAAGTGTTATGATCTAGGCACTTTTTACGCAAGTTTCCTTCAATTCATTATGTTTCCAAATACACTATTTATATTCATTATTAATGAATCATTAATAATATCTTGAATATAATTATTATCACTGATTTTAAAAATAAATATTTATAAATATTTGTAGATTTATGAATGTAGAAATTAAATTTACTGTACTTTGTTGTGTGTCCAACAATTGTCCAGCTGTATATTAAAAGTACCATTTCTAGTGAAAGTTGTAATATAATTATATTCTTTTATGAATCATACTCGTTGATTAAAATACATGATTAAGTAATTACTAATTACGGTAGTTATAATTGAAAGCATACAATACAAATAATTTAGTTTAACTAACATCTCGGAGTATTGATGGGTAATTCTAAATCATAATTTTAATTTAACATTTAAATCAACAGTTTTAAACAAAGTTAAAACTTAAACTAAATAATTGCACTTTTATTGTAACAGTAAAATTCCATACTTTACCGTCGGTTATATGAGACAACTGTCACATAAGTTACTTTAAAAGTACGTTAAGTCAAATCACAGTTTATCAAAATCAAGTAAAAATGTGATCAATCACTATTAAACATTTAATTAATTGTAATGATGATAATTTCTTTGTGAAAGACGTTTATGTCTAACATGATGCAATAAATAGTGATTGTTGCAACTTACTGAGTTAGCATGCTCTAACAAGTCTGCTAGAATAAATAAAATAAATATTTTGGTGGCATCCGAAATGATACTAGAGAACATTAAATTGATAATGTTCAATTTTTATGCCATAGATATAATGAATACCGTATTAATCTATGAACTTTGTGTGCTTTTGATAACTTTCATAATTATTAATTAAGCAATTAATCGGCTGCACTTTAGGATTTGGGCCGCGGCCGACGGTAAATTGGTGTATATATTCTTATAGCCACTGGTCTGAAGTACACAAATCTGGTTTCAAAGTTTGCACGAAACGTACGGTTCCGAAGATATCGCGGATCAAGTGATTGACTTTCCCATAGAAACCCATTATAAACAAAACTTTCATTTTTATACCTAACCTAACCTAACCCAACCCTACCCTACCTAACCTAACCTAACCTAACCCAACCTAACCTAACTTAACTATATTATATAATATATTTATATACTGTACTATCCGGAACAACTACATAGTCTTTATATATATAGTCTTATCCCGTAAAAAATTTTTTTTGTTTATAATGGGTTCCTATGGGATCAGTCACTTGATCCGCGATATCTTTGGAACCGTACGTTTCGTGCAAACTTTGAAACCAGATTTGTGATCCTCAGAGCACGGGTTATAAGCATATATAAACCAATTTACCGTCGGCCGCGGCCCAAATCCTAAAGTTGAGCCAATTAATCAAATAAAACAACACAATATGTATTCAATTCCTGAAAACATTTAATTTTAATCGATTTCTTATAAATATTAACTATGAATTCAAGCGATTCAAGTGATTATTACAACAATTATAAATGTGAATCTTGTTTTGACATAATCTATGCGTTAATCCATTTGAGATAATTAAGTAAATAATGATAAATTCGTTATATAATCATAACTAACATATCATACATTTATCCTAGTTTGCAGACAAATGTGAGAATATTAATTATTAATATATACAAACGTAATCATAAATAACAAATAAATGTATGTCTGTCAATATAAATATGTTGTAATGTGCATAAAATGTGCATGTTCAATTTACACATCAATTCAATGCCATAAATGTGTTCAAATGAGAGCGCGTGCCAAATGATAGTGAGGGCTAACTCTATTGGTTCGCAACAGTATTACATGCGCTCTCATTGGCTGCCAAAATATATCATACTTTAAGCCCTATTAGAAAATGTTTCGCAAATAACGTACGAATTATAATTATAACGACACCAAAAATATAGTGTTTTATTGAAACGCAATGTAAATGTACTGTCATTTAAATACTAGTATATTATTAATGAAATGATTAAATATTCATTACATGAGAGACACAAACGAGAGATGATTGGAAAGAATGAGGGCTTAATTATAGCGTGAATTGTTTGGTCCATCACTTGATATGATATGAATAGCCGTAAGAATGGGTGCGAAAGGGGTTGAGGTGTGAGAGGAGTGACGGCTTATGTGACGAGTATTACTCTCTCTCTCTCACTCTCATTGATTGACTCGCATTCAGTCATACAATACAATACAGACTCTGTATAACACAGACTATGATATGATATGGTATTAGAGACTCACTTACTGTTAGACTTGACTCCAAATCAATGACATATTTATTGCACATTTGACTCTCATTTTAGTTCACATTTTGATTGTTATATAACTAACACTTTCTTCACATTTATTATACATTTCCTAACCAATTGGTTATTAAGGCGGGCGTAGAAGAGGTGCCCTTTTTTAATGCTCCCATTTATACCGAAAACAAACAACAGGTCGGAAAAGTGGACGAAATCTTCGGATCAATTAGAGATTACGTGAGTTTTGTGTTATTATTATTATTGGTGTTTATTATTAACGTTTGAGTCAATGTAATCGTCTCTTCATTTACTTGCAGTCAATATCAGTGACACTAATGGAGAATATGAAGGCGTCTTCGTTTCCAATCCAACAAAAGTTTTATATCGATCCGCAAAAGCTGTTACCACTGCAGAGGTTTCTGCCCAACGCTTCCGGAAAGACTGGCGGAGGCAGAGGTGGCGGTAGGGGTCGCGGCGGTAGAGGCGGTGGTCGCGGAGGTGGAGGAAGAGGAGGCTTTGGCGGCGGCCGAGGAGGCGGTGGACGAGGCTTTGGCGGCGGCGGAGGCCGTGGTTTTGGTGGCGGTCGCGGAGGCGGCGGTGGAAGAGGTTTTGGCGGAGGCGGTGGACGAAGCTTTGGCGGCGGCCGAGGGGGTGGGGGCTTCAGACGATAATTATGATGATTTAGATTTTTACATAAGTTTTCATTTTTTGCCATTAATTGTCATTTATTTTAAAATATAAGACTATTAAATATTTTTCAAACATTTTATTAGATTTTATAATGAATTTAATGAATGAATGAGTGATTAATTTAGACGACAATTAATTATCAAATTTGATGTGTTTATTGAGTTTTGGCTCAACACCAGTCATTGCATTCTCGGCTCGATTTATAATGCGGTGAAAACCTCTGGTTTTATGTTTGGGTTTCTTCTCATTATTAGTCGTCCCCTTCTTTTNTCAAATTTGATGTGTTTATTGAGTTTTGGCTCAACACCAGTCATTGCATTCTCGGCTCGATTTATAATGCGGTGAAAACCTCTGGTTTTATGTTTGGGTTTCTTCTCATTATTAGTCGTCCACTTCTTTTTGATCCTTTCGTCGAATATTTGGTTCCAATAATCTGTTTCTTCAGTTCCGCACAAAACACTCAATTCTCCCAATTGTTTAAGTTTTTCCTTTTGAAGCATTTGTTGACAATCATCGCCAGAATTGGTCCGAATATAGCAAACGCCGCGAAGTGTTTCGCTGTCCTTAAACTCCATGCGATTCTTCGGCAAATCAATGTATGAGATCTCTTGCTTTTCAGCCATAAGTCTAATGTTTCGCTTAAATTCATTGTCGTTGAAATCCATCGAAGAGACGGAAAAATTCAATTTAATAATAAGTCCCGATTCAAAGGACCGCTCATTGGCTGTTGTGTTGTCCTCAGCCATGACTGTCGGCTCATTAGCTAATTGTTCAATATTTGTATCAGTCTTTACCAAAAGCGAACGCTTCAGTGCAGCCATCGATTGCTTCTGTAGTTTTAAGTATTTATTTTTCCATCGCTTCCACTCTTTCTTCGACATAACTCTCAGATTAATCACTTCCGGGACATTGTCTTCGACCAAATCCGGTGTAATTACAGTCCGTTTCTTTCGCCGCTTCTTCTTCTTCTCCTTAACTTTGGTACTAATTGTCTCACAATTTGTTTCACTAATTGTTTCAACATTTTTGTCCATTAATTGCAAATCACTTTCCGAACCATCGTTTTCGGACACTTTGGCTCTCTTTGCGTCACTTATCTCTTCATCGGTCGCGTCGTGCGATCTCTTGCGCGACACTTCGGGTTCGGGTATGTCTTGTGTCTGATCTGCGGATAATTTGGGTTCGCATTCATTATTACTGTCCATTTGATCACTATTTTGGTTGTCATCGGAAGACAATGCGTTGAAGTGTTTGAGTGCCTTCTCTGCCGACACTTTGTCCTCGAACTCAATGAAAGCAAATCCCATAATATTGTTATTGTGTCTAAAATGCGGGACTTTTATGTACTGAATGGGACCGAAGGGCGCGAACACCGACCGAATCCAGTGGTGGTCAGCGTTGGGCGGAAGCCGTTCCACATAAATGGTCAGATCATCGCAATTCACATCTCTGGTCACAAACGGCTCCAGTCGTTGCACTTTATCGCTCTTCTCATCCAATGACAGACATTTGGATCTCTCGAGCGCTAGACTTATGTCACGAATATTTTGTGTCATTTCAGAGATTTTGTTGAATTTCAAGAACTCATTCAAATGGACCGCTTGTCTGCCCTTTAGGTCCGGGTCTTCGGCGCCAATCAGTTGTCTCATGAATCGGTCGTGTCTTAGGTTCGCGTCACTGAAGTAGAACTCAATCTAAATCAACACAAATTCAATCATTAGGTTCACCGCCGAAGAAGACAATGACAATCGTTTGTGACAAACCTGTTCCCGGATTGTGTTCAATAACCTCTTCTTCCGTTTCCTGCCGTGTCTTTCCATTGGAAGCGATGGATGACTCTCAAGACAATCCATGGCATCAATGGATCCGATGGTTGCGTCAAATGAAAGCAATGTTTACTGTTTTTGTTGACGAATTGAAGCAAACATTCAATCATTGATTCATTCATTCATTAATAACGCTATAATTCGCACACTTTTTGTGCGCAAACTTTTGTTCACAACTTTTTTCACGTATTTTAGGAAATGATTCCCACTTTTGGTCACTTTTAAGCCATTATTCAATGCAATTGAATCAGTGGTCAAATTGTGTCAATACAGTGGTATATAGTTTTGCAAATGTTGTGTCACTTTAATGTGCTTTAAGTTCATAAGAATAGATGTGATTATTGTTGTTAAGCCTTGTTTTTAATCAAAGTTCAACTCTGACTGGAGTTCACAAATAGTTCGGACAAATGAGTTGACATTCATTGACATATGAGTGACGAAAGCGTGCGATTCGGACATGAATTGTGCGAATGATTGCTAATATAGTAATCACTGATTAATACTAACTATACTTCAGGTTTGGCACAAGTTTTGCGTACATTTCACTCACTTTACACTCACTGTCAGTGACTGGCAGTCAATGAATGGCACATAAAGTGTGAATCAATTGATAGCCATTAGTGTTATCCTATAGTATAGTGACTGCAATCGTATCACTACTTCTCATAAATCTGGTCATCGCTTGTCTATCAGTCGTGTCCTTCCCTTTGAAAAGCCGTAACAATGGATGAGTCGAGTGGTCGCGAAGACACCATCGGTTGGGACGAATCGTTTGAGTCGACGGATGGAGAAGAAGGTAATGGAAACTCGAGTTGGGATACAACGGGTTTTGTCACTTGCATTGGATCAGACATCGAGACGCATCTGAACGACTCGAAGGATACAACTCTCGAGTTTCCACAAGAGTCACTGGAATCGCTGGGAATCGATGGCTATGACGAAGACGTGGATTACGTTACCGAAGAGTGTGAACAAAACGGTGAAAGCAATGGCAGTGATGATAACGTTGACCACAACAACGCTAAGGAAGATATGAATGACACATCACGTGACACTTCTTGGGGATCAGAGAGTGATCGACAAAATGAGTGTCAAATGACACCCAAATCATTGAAAAAGTCGAAACGCTGTCAAAAAGATGGCTCTAAAGTGGATGTTGTCGTCGAAAGTGAAGCGACAAATGAATCAAATACTAAATCAGTGGTCGAAGCGGAGACTCAATGGGAACCACAGAAGGAGACAGTGGTCGCGACCTATGGTTTGGATCATTTGGACGATTGGACGGTCACTCAACCCGATGTTGAACAAGAGTTTGAGCCAGAAATTGAAGCCAATCCTGAGCTCGAATCTGAACTCAAATCTCAGTTTGAACCACAGATTATACCCCAATCTGAGCCTCAGACCGAACCTGAGGTCGAATCAAAGATTATCATAGAATTTGAAACACAAATAGAAAGAGATGTCGAACCAGAAGTCGAACCAGAATTTGAAGCAGAAGTCGAACCAGAATTTGAAGCAGAAGTCGAACCAGAAGTTGAACCAGAATTTGAAGCAGAAGTCGAACCAGAATTTAAAACAGAAGTAGAACCAGAAGCTGAACCAGAAGTCAAAGAAGAGTTTGAACCAGAAGTCGAACCAGAATTAGAACCAGAATTTGAAGCGGAAGTAGAACTAGAAGTTGAACCAGAAATCAAAGAGGAGGTCGAGTCAGAAGTTAAGCCAGAGATCGAACTAGAAATCGAAGAAGAGGTCGAATCAGAAAATATCCCCGAATCCAACACAGAATTTGAAGCAGAAGTCGAACCAAAATTTAAACCAGAAGTTAAAGAAGAGGTCGAATCAGAGATTATACCCGAAATTGAAGCCTCACTTGAACCAGAAGTAGAAGTGTCAGCTGATACTGAGTCCGAATCTGAACTCGAGGCTGAATTTGAATCACAGATTATACCCGAATCTGATTTCGAGCCTCAGATCGAATTCGAGTCTAAATGTGAGTTTGAATCAAAGTTGATGACCCGATTTGAAACAGAGGTCGAAACTGAGTCAACCCTTCCACACGAAACGGATGCCGTGGCTGGACAAGAGATGGAACCCGAATTTGGATCCGATGGCGGATCAGTAGCTGAACCTGAGGGTGAAGTAGAGGGTAAACCAGACTTTGATCTGAATTTTGTACCCGAAACTGAAGCAGAGATTGAACCCGAAGTTAATATAGATTTAGAGTCGGGAATCAATTCAACTGATAGTTCTGTCGGGGCTTCAAATTCTTGGATAGGAATTACAAATAAATACCATTTGAGTTCTAGTGTTAAACCAAAGGCTAGATATCAAATACAGCGAAAAATTAATGAAGAAATGGAATTAGAAGACGACGTGTTTGAAGGAGAGGTCCTACAAGTTGTGACCAAACCATTGGTGAACCAAAGTTCAAATAATGCCCGCCAAGTGTTCCGTTGGCTAAACGCCGAGGATGTGGTGCCGGCCCAACACAAACCACAAGTGAATGAATCGACTCACGAAGCAAAACCTCTTAAGAGTCCAAAGCCTTTGCCATCAAAAGCGTGTTCTTCGGCGGTCAACAAACCGATGACAAAAACTGTTTCCCAAAATAAACTGATAGCCGATCACAACAATGGATTCAATGAGCGGAATAAAGGACCCGTTCGGGTGACCACTACTGCTTCCAACAAACTCTTATCGAAGACTATGAGTTCTGCATCGTTGCCGAAGTGGAACTATTCAACCAAACCATTGGCTACATTCCCGCCTCCGATGTCAT